ATCAAAACGTCTGACGTCTGTCGGTTCGTCCGTCTGTCGGTTCGTCCGTCTGTCGGTTCGTCCGTCTGTCGGTTCGTCCGTCTGTTGGTTACAAAAACAAAAGATTTTCTCAAAAAAAGCTCCAATTCTTTTCTTTAAACTTTTCATAGGGATAGTGCCAAATGTTCTCTATGAGATGACCTAAGCTCCATATTGCTCTATTCTTTTGATTTTTCAAATATTACAAAATTATTCAATTTTTTGACTTGCCTCTTATGTCTTTAATATTTATATAAGTGGCACTTTCTTCACATTATTGTATTTATAAGTACGTATGCTTTAAATAATATAAACATTATATTCATATAAAGTTTCTTGAAAACAATTTTCTGTGAAAATTAGCTCAAAAGTTCGCTTCAGAAACGATCAAACGCTATTTTCTCAAAAACGGCTCCAATTTTGTATTTCAAACATTTCGAAAGATAGTGGTAATTGCACTCTTTATGATGTAAAGTTCATTTGAGGCTTTTGTTTGCTTTTTCAAAAATTACACATATGTAGCATGTTTGAAAGATCTCTGACTTTGTTAATATGCACATTTCCAGCAATTTGTGAATACTATTGTATATGTGATTTAAAGTGCTTCAAATAAAGTTTTTCGAACACTCGATAGCTTTCTGTGAAAAGAGGTTCAAATTTCGAATTTACAGAGTTGTTTTGACGCAGTTTCTTAAAAACAGTTCCAAATTTTTCAAAGAAAATTGCTATTTAGGACGAGGTTTTACTGTTGGTAGGAAACAGATATATTAAGAAAAAAATTAAAACAATGCACCTTGAGTGGCGATAAATGGCAGCAGACAAGAATACGTGGTATGTTCGAATAGCTAACGGAGACCAAAGGAAATATAAAACTAATACGAGAAAGTCTGTCATTCTGTGGCAGCACTCGTTTTGAACGATTTGGCGCTGCCTGTGCTCCACTGCAAGTGCCAGATGATGGCTCTTGGTGCGTCTGCTAGGAGCGCTCTAGTCGAGGAGCGTCCACTTCGCACGCTGACGGAAGATTACAGAGCCATTTCTAGGGCAGGTGCCTGGCGATGATGATTCCGCGCTCCCGGAGCGTTTTTTGCTTTTAAGAGAAAGCGGAATACATTATTTTATTTGAGAAATAAGGACCATAATATTTTATATACGTTTCGTGCCCCTTTATAGCCAGTTCTACGTTTATTATTTATTTACGTCAAAAACAGTTAAAAACTTGTGTGACGTGCTATGGGAAAAAAGTTAATTTGAAGTTACATTTAGTATAAATATTACGTGTTCGTTTTATGTTATTGCTTTATCTACTTGTATATTTTAACCAGAACCCAAGCTCTCGTTATAGATTGGGTACATGCTTTTAATCAGCAGACTAGTTGCATCTACAACGTCTCTCGCCACAACCTATTTCTTATCTGTTGCAGGAAATTCTTTTTTTCCAACATCCACTCTCGACGCAGTTTTCATACTATCGGTTCGACCAAGATGGACAGACTTCGCGCAGTACTTATTCGTGATCCCTTGTTCTCCGAGGAACACATTTATATTCCACACATAATTCTAACAATCGCTAAGCAATTTGAAGAAAGAAGGAAAAAAAAGAAAAAGAAAAATCTGAACTACACTTGCGTGAAAAGGGGGGATGAGGAAGGCGTCGCCGCCTCGGCCTGGGCGGGCGGGGAGAAGATTGCTTGGCCTTGACAGACAGCCCGAACTCCCAGTGTTGGAGCGTAATAACGAATCAGTTATCGTCGCAGGCGGGCCTTGCCTTCAACTGAGCTCCCCCTCGCTGAGGAGCGGGGGATGGCTTCGTCACTCTTCCTGAGGCCATGTTTTTTTTTCTAAATGCTCGAGCTATAGCTATGTAGTGTAATGGAACGTGCTCATAAACACACGTTGACGCGCCAAATGTAAAGGATTAAGCACGTTGGGCGTCAAATGTAAGGGGACATTAATACGCCTTGGAAAGTAGCTCAGAGTCTGCATGAAATGGATTTGGACTCTATGTACACCACTGTCCTAGACTGGAAGGCTGCCGGCTCAAGAGAGATTTCGGGGTAGGCAATTCTGGGTTGGTGATGATGCAGGGTCATAATGATTCTACTTAGTGGAGCAAAACTCATAACATTCTTTAAAAGGGACGGGTGCCGGTTTATTTAATTTAAAACAAAATAGTGAACACGCACAATTAGGTTTGACACGAGTAGTTTGCTTGGTGATTAAACGTTTCTCTCAAAGCTTTCTGTCCAATGAATTCACAAAACGTTTCTAGTGGACAGGGGCACGTGGTAGCTGGACCGATGGCGCCGTCCCTTGGGCAATTGCCTGCCGGCCGGCAGGTGGGCGGGGTGGCTGGCTCATATCGACACGGCCATGGAGGGAAGCTGCTGCATTCGTCCGGAAAGTCGGCTTCGTTGGCAGGGCGACGTTTTTGCGTGTAACGGTTGGGGTAAATCGGGCCGTCACACGACACCGACGTGCGCTTTCGTCGCCTGTTGATGCGTTAAATAACTTTGTGCGTTATGTAACTTTTGATCATTTCGGCAGCAGTTGCTCTCCCGAGATTTTTTAATAACATAGTTCGAAGACTTTTGCGTAATTGTTAAATACTTTTTACTGAAGTGCTTGGAAACTGATTTTGTCAGAAGAGCATGGCCGGAAAGTTCGAATTTAGTCTGAAGTGTTGAGTGAGATGTTCAATGATTTTGCTTGAAGTGCTCACCGAGGTGTTTGAAAGTTTTATCTCGAGTGATTTCAATGTCGCGTCCGAAGCTCCTGTGCATGGCTCTCTTGACTCGTGATTTGTGAACTGCTTGGCTATTTGTTAATTATGAATATTCTAGAGTTCTGTGATCCTCTCTCGGTCGATCTACTTGTGGGATTATGCTAATGGTTTAAATGTGTTCTTTCGTACTGTTTGGAAGTCGTCGATGGGAGTACAATCTTAGTGATGGTCTTTTGTTTCCCGCTCTATGCAGCCGTCGCTTTTCAAGAGCTCCTCGAAGGAGTTGTCTCGCCGTATCTGCCTGCCGCATTGTCCTCTACGCGAGTGCCTTTTACTCTCTCGCTACGGAGTAGAGAGAAAGTTATGTAATGCTGCGCGAATAAGCCAAATAGACAATTTTCTGCCGAAAAACTTTTATTACAGGGCCCTGATAATGTAAAAGTGGTTAAATCCAGTTGCTAAAGTTAGAAAAAATCCTCTTATCACATGGTGTAGTCACAATCCATGTTTTGTGGGTCCTTGATACTGAAAAATCGAATGATGGCAAAACGTCTGTCCATCTGCGAACAACGCTAGCCACTAAACCATTCAGCCGATTTTCTTTAAAATTAATATTCCGCTTTCGATCTGGCTGATATAGCGGCCCCTTGCATTTGAATCCGATATTTTAATTTTGGGGGTTACTTTACATGAAGCCCCTTGAACATTTTCAAAAAAATGGCTCCTCTGCTTTTGATTAAATTTTGTTGTTGGATAGTGCGGAGGACGTTTAGGAAAATGGTGCAAGTCTCATCCCCGTTAAAACACCTGATTTTTCGCAATTGTTTCGGTATCTTTCTACTACAATATGAAGATGAGATTTTTTGAAAATTTGAAGTGTTCGTGTAATTTAGCGTAAAAATACGGGCGAGCAAGTACATGCTGTCTTGGCACTAGGAGTTCCTTTGGGGCGGGCTGTCGCCCAAGATGGGAGGCTGTAGGCGTAGGGGAGCGCGCGAGATTAACGCCGTCTTGGCGCCCTCGGCTCGTTCGGCAGGTTCGAGAAGAGTTGGGGTATTATAGAAGCGAATGTCGAAAATCCTGCCACCATACGGACTCGAAACTTGGAATCTCCCGGTGAGAGGTACTACAATGACATCAGTTGAACACTATGTAACCATCTGATTGTTAACATAGATTGTTTAAAAGTTTTCAAATTTTTGAAGTATATGTACTTTTAAGATTTATATTCTAAATTTTACATTGTGTGGCGTCGTTGGATGCGAGTAAAACACAGACACGGAGTTGTTCTGTACAGATGTATTGACAAGTTTTTATACGCTCCTGGTTTCTCGTCCCGTGGCAACCGCTACACCTCGCAGCCGAAGCTCGCGATAACCCCTGGCGGGTGACAAGTGCCTTCCGCACCGCGATTCCGTTCGACAACGAATGACCATGGCTGGTTACTCCCCAGCCGCCTCGCGAGGGGTCACGTGACAGACCTCCCATGCCTGCGGATCCTCTTGACACGACTCCCACGTGACAGATCCTCTCATTCCGAAACGTTGGCCTGTTTGCAATTTGGAGCCCAGCTGCCCCGCGGCTGGACTCACCCATCATCTCCCTCTGCTCCAATTGACACCCGCGTTCCGAGACACGCCCAACTCGGCCCTTGAGGAGGGCCCGCCCCTGGTGGCCTTCCCCTTGCCGCCAAAGGACTGCCCCCGCCCCTCGCTGGCCTCCTGACATGTGTGGTCCATCTGGCCCATTGGCACGTTACAATTCAAATTCAAAAACATTTTCCCCCAACCCCTATTCAGTCCTGTGTTATGTCAAGGAGGTATGTGCTGCAAAAGAACCTTTCCGGCTTATTTTGGAGAGATTCCGTATCAATTTAAGTTTTCGGGGATCGCAATTTTTAGCGATTTTGCAAGACTAAACAAGGCTGTATTTTACAAACGGGTTGAAATATTATATTGCAACTTAGCTATATTTTGCATAGTATTTTGTTTGGTCTACAAAGAGTCCACGTATGTGGCAAATTTCATCCAAATCCTATCTGGCAAAGTAAAATCACTGTGTTGATTTTTGTGAAATGACCCATGTTCATTCCTTTATCTAGTCGAACTTCATAGGCTTTCGTTTGGCCTTTTGTGGGACAGTTGTAAATTTGATATCAAAATACGGAGTTAAAATAGCATATATCAACATACAATTTGAGTATTTAAGTATTGTTTCTTGTGTTGATTATTTTATATACTTTTGTTATTTTTAACAGGGCTCCTATTACGGCTGATTCCCTGGCTTCTGACACAAAGCTTGTTTTAGAGGAAATAACACGTTGCTTGAATCTGGAAAAATTACTTCAGTGTTACAAATTCACTGTTACTGTGTCTTGCCTCAAAGCTATCCGAAAACTACAGAAATTTGGTCATCTACCTAGTAATCCATCTCTTTTCCGCAGTTACGCTGCTTATGGACAATTCATTGGTAAGCTGCAGAACTGGAATTCAATTACAAAAATAGTTTGTCGTGATTGTGATGCATGTAATCTGTTTTGCCTTAGATGTGAGATTAGCTGCTTTGGAAGCGTTGGTGGATTTCACGAGGGTCGACGGGCGATGGGATGATCTAGTGTTCTTGTTAGATTTGATAGAAAACGACCCCGACCCCAGAGTGAGGCACAGCCTGGTGCGCTTGTTGGTAGAAAATCCACCTTTTGATCGTGCCCACAAACATCGTTTAGACAGGGAAGAACTAGTAGACAGACTTTGGTCGCTCATGAAGTGAGTACTGTTTGCATCACTGATATGATCTGTTTTACTTTATTGCATGTTCTCAAATAAATATTTTATGGTATACAATTAAATGTATTTTAATAATGCTCCATTGACACATTGTTTTCAGTTGCCAACTGTCCCATGATTCACATTTACGATGTGACATTGTGGATTTATACTACACTTTGTATGGCTCAAAGAAACCCATATGTATTGCTGTACCAGAACTCTCTTCCATATTAAATATTAACAATCTCAAGACTGAAAGAAGGCGTAGTCCTGTTCGTGAAAAAGAGGTGTGAATTTAGACCTGTAATAACTATGATTCACAACTTATTTAATAGTTTTTAAAAATGTTATTGTTCAAAGAGTTGAGTTCACAAGATTTTTCTAATATCTTTTGCAGGTTAAGCCTCTGCCTCCTGCCCCTATGTTTGTTCCTGCGAGTGATGTTGACATTCCTTCTATTAGTGGAGTGAAAAGAAAAGCCTCTTCACCTTTGAGAGAAACAGAAGTTTTAACAGATGACAACAATTTGGGTTTAGTTACTGTTGAAATAGTTGCAGGTGATGAGGGTAACAAAGTCCGTGTGAAGGTAAAATTTAAGATTAGGAAGTTTCATTTCAGTTCTTTATTGGGAGACCTAAAAATTGAGAAAACGTGAAACTAATGGTGCTACAACAGGACATACTTTCCTGCAATATTACAATGTTATCGTTATGTATGACAGGATGCATTTACAAAAACTTGTACGTGACATTTTTTAGAGAGCTAGGTTTGTGCAACAGACTTTGTAGGAGAAAAAATCTTTATCTTCAGTTTTATAGTTTAGAATTTTTTCTGTGTAATTTTTGAACACATTGAACAATACCTGAAAATTGGACTAGCACCATATTTCTTCCGTCCCTTATTACTTAAGGGGAGAAAATTTAAAGAAAAAATTTGGAGCAGTTTTTGAGATACACATTAGTGATAATTTCAAGGGCAAACCACTAACTACTAACTACTAATTTTGTTAAAAAAAATGTACATGACATTTTTTAAAGTGCTAATTTTCTGCAACATACTTTGTCTGAAGCAAAAATCTCTATATTCAATTTTATTTTGTGAAATTTTTGAAAAATCAGAGATTTCAATGAAAATAAGACCAGCATTATTCTCTCAAATGTCCTTTGCACTATCCATCAACCAAAACTTAATAAAAAAATTGGGAACCATTTTTTTGAAAGTATCCGGGAGCTTTATGTAAAGTACCCTGTCGAAATGAAAATACATGTTTAAAATTCCAGGGGCTGCAACATTAAGCACAGTTGGCTGGGCAGACTGACGTTTTGCAGTCAATCGAATTGTCAGTGTGAAGAATGCAAAAAACGTAGATTCTGGCTGCACCTGTGTTAGAGGAATTGGTTTTCTATATTTAGCAAATGGATTTATCCACTTTATTATTACCAAGGCCCGGCATTAAGAGTTTTTGTGGGGAAAATTCGCCATCTCCCGTCTCATGATTACAATTTATACTCTTCTTAAAAATTACTTTGAGGCAGCCTCGATGGCTGCTGGGAAGAAGGCGGGGCAAAACCTAAAACCCAGCTGATTAAAGAGATTTGAATACTAGCTAGCACGAGAAAGTCTATACTTCTATAGCACCACTTGTTGTTTGTACTGAAACATACAAGTAGTGCTGGTGCATTCCTTTTTAAAACAAATTCTGTTTGTTTAACATTTAAGTAAACGTAATACTAACTGAAATAACATAAAAAATATTTGTATTATATAAAGTTATTGCAAAATTAAATTTTATCCAATAGTTAGAACATTTATATATTTTATAATAATGAAAAATGTTTCAAATTTATTAATATAACATTGTTATTTAGTAAACTTCATTAACTATAATTAGGGTAAACTTTTATATCTTGTTTTGTCGTATTATGAACTCAGTATCAACTCAAACAAAGTGCTTCATATTTCATGAAATTGCTTTTAGTATAATTTGGTAAAATTGATGTTAATTGATCAGGGAAAACGGGAAAAGTGTGGGAAATTGGTTTTCAAATCATTGTGTATTCCTTGATGTTGTCTGCATGAGGTGTCACGTACTGAAACATTTTGTGTATTTGATGTGATTGCAGGAATCAGCTGCTGCACCTACAGCTACAGCAGCTACAGCTGCAACAAGAGTTCCCTCTCCCTTGCCAACGGATGTTGGTTTTATCCCTTCAAATACTCCTGCTTCTGCTGCGATTTCTATTGTGCCCTCTGCTCCTACTAATGCACCACCAGTTCTGAGCCAAAGTAGTTCAGCTATTCCCAAGACAGAATCCCGCCGTGATAAAGAAACAAAGAGTGAATACTTCTCAGATAATTCTCAGTCCCTTCCTGGTATTATGGGTTCATCTGGTCCTGTTGGTTTTGAGCCTGGTATGTTTCATAAAGAAGAGGGTGATAAGCAGAAATCTGAGCCTAGTTCAAAGGTAATTTAATTAATTTTTTCCTGGCATTGATTATATAAATTCTCATGGACAACATATGTTTTATGTAAATTATTTTCTTGTAGTTGAAGAAGAAAAAGAAAGACAAGAAGAAACATAAACACAAACACAAACATCGACATGATCACAAACATGGTAAAGAAAAAGGAAAAGAGAAGGAAGGAAAAGATAATAAAGATAGCAAAGAAAAAGACAAAAAAGACTTGACACATCTGAAAATTCGTGAGGAAACATTGAGTTCTGGCAGTTCCAGCCCAAGTCCTAGCCCCATAAATTTTCCTTAGGTAATTTTGTATATATTTTTTAATAGATTTCTTTGATTTGATTAAGTTGCCAGACGTTCTTTTTCAAAGTTGTTGTTTTTTATACTTTGCCAGAAAATTAAAAAAGCATTGCATGGATAATTATTATGATATATATGTAGTAATTAATTTAAAACTATTGTTATTAGAATGTAAGGAGAAAACTTTTGTGAATAAAATAGTATTGTACATTTGTATATAGAGTATGGATTAGAGATGTTTTTTTAAAATGATGTTGAAGTGGTGGAAAATGAAATACCTCCAACACTGTTGGTGTATTTGTCCAATAATATATATATGTGTTATGGGAGCAAAAAGACACTTTGACTCATCAGTAATGGGGATGGGGGTGAGGATTTATCGCAAGACACCTAGTAATGACGCTGTTGGACGCTGGAACTACTGTAAGAGACATGAGCAGCCTCCAAAGTAGGTGTTTTACAACCAGGGAGAAGGCAGATTATATGATCAATAGTGGACGGATTTAATGACATGTCATATTTTTATTTTATTTTAGAACTATGCCTTTTCATATACATATTAATTTTATGTTATGGCAAAGGAAATGGCCCATTTTTATATTTCCCTTTTTTTGTGCATTTTTTGTTTATTTCGACTAAAAGCATTTTTATCTTTTAATGTGATTTTTAAAGCATTTTTCGCTGATTTCATTGATTTAATATCTTTTAGGCGTACCAAGAGAGGTGGCCTAGGGTGTGAACTGCACTTAAGTTTAATTTTTTCTTTTTCGACGTTTATCCTTCATCTGAAATATGGAGATAGAGATATTTTACTTTCCTGAATACGTATGTGTATATAAGTAGTACAGGGAAAGTTTTGTAATGCTGCGAAAATCGATTTTGAGATTTCAATGGAAATACAACCCATACCAAAGTGTTGTTTCGTTTCAAATCGTCCACCCGTAGGCATAGGATGTCCATAATTTGTTCTTTCATTGAGGTTGTGAATGTGTTTTTTTTGTTTTTTTTAGTGTAGTAGTTTTTGCGCAATATTGCTTCAATATTTGCAGTTTTAAAGAATTCCAAAAACAAGATTTTCTCAAAAATAGTCCAAATTTTTCTTTAGACATTTAGTAAGGATTATGCTAAATGAACTCTATAAGATGACATAAACTCAAATTAAATATCAAATATTTACAAAAATTTAATTTTTCGATTGTCTCACATCTTTATTATTGACACTAGCGGCAATTGTTGCACATTATTATCTTTAAGAGTAGGAGTACATGTGCTTTAAAACATGTCAAATAAAGCTTCTTCAAAACTCAACGTTATCTGTGAAAATTATCTCAAAATTCTACATTTTCAGAAACGCTCAAATGCCTTTTCCTCAAAAATAGCTCAATTTTTTTCCCTTCAAACCTTTCCGAAACAATAGTGGTAATTGCACTCTTTAATATGCGATAAAGTTCATTTGAGGTTTCTGTTTGCTTTTTCATAAATTACTCTAATGTAATTTTTTTGAAATATCTCTGACGTTAATGATGACAGAAAATTGCCCTTTATTACGAGGTATTTAACTGTTCTTTAAATATTTATAAAATATATTTCCGACATTGTAAGAAACTGATATAATAAGAATTTTTGAAAAATATGTACTTTGGGTGGCGGTAGAACGGTAAGCAGGCAAGGAATGTGGCAAGTTCGTATAGGCGCTGAGACGAAAAGAAATTAGAAAACTAATATGGGAAAGTCTTGCCATTCTGTAATTCCACAGTAGTTTTTGATATTATAAATGGCATCTTTCGGTGACTTTTAATTAGATGGAACACTGTGCGATTTTTTTAATTATAATGATGCAAATAAAATGTTTTTCAAGAATACTATAGTAAATTTGTATAATTTTGGGAATGTGAATTTATAGTTTTTTTTATTACAAGTAATTCAGAGATAACTGACATTGGATAGATTAAATTAATTGACCCTCACTGTAAAGAGAAAGGACTTAAGTGTCATTTGTCAAGGACGAAACATACTTGACATTGATAAAATTTGTAATTTGGCTAAATTCCTATTGTTACATATATTAGTCAGTTATTATTTTTATTTCTTAATGAATAAACGTGCATGAAATTATAATTTACAAAAGGTTATGACTTTTTTGAAGAACGTGCCACAAAAAGAGAAAATATGAAAAATATTCTATAATATAAGTAACTTATTATATATTCAATTAATTAGATTCTTAAACAGGTAGGACTTAATTATTGATGATCGACGTGTTTGAGTTCTTTTATTTTAATTATAAGTAATGAATTATGCTATGTTATCGAATTATCATTATTAATGGGTTAATTTGAATGTTATGTTGGTATTTTTGTTCCCTTTAATATTAGAGAAATCATCTTGCTTGTTATATGTTTTGTGAATTAAAAACACCAGAATAATTGTTGTATTAGGATCAGGCTTACCACAGTTTTGATCCAACACTATGCAGTACGAATTTGGCTAGGCAAAATGAAACTTGAAATATCATGTGTATGTATTCGAACACTATAGGTTTCCAAAAGTAAAGTAAGAGATTAACTTCATAAAACCACAAGTTTGAACGTGGAAAAAAAAAACATTTTAAATTTATTTTATCGTAACTGAAAGAGGACCGGTCATGGAGTTTTTATTATTGATGGTTTCAATGTATATATGGTTATGCATTTTGAGTTCCATAATTGGCATCTTGCTGAAGTTCTTTTAAATTAATTGCGTATTTCATTGTATCTAACTGCGTCGAATCACAAAATGACGTTGATTGTCTGTTTCAACGCTTGGTTTTAAAAAACCCTAGCATTGCAAAACAATGGACTAAAACTGTCGTTGACCGAGTTTTAGCTAGAAATGTGACATTTGCAGGGTATGATGCGCGTGTGGCAGGCTATTACTGAGATGTTATATAGCAGAATGTGGATATATTATTAATAACTGTTACTAATGTGCGAGAAAGTATGTTGGCTGTTTTAGCACCCACTAGCTTGTCTGTCTTGCCAATAGCTTCCTCCCCAAAAAGTAGTATGGCCGGAAGATCAGAGGAAGGATTCTCCGTCTGTCTCAGGTCTGATAAAATGGAAATGCCCACTTTCTGGCATAACAAGTTGAATTAGTCTCTGACAATGAAAATTAATCCCATTCCTTATTCCTTCAAGGTTTTTTGTAAATTGAAAAGAAGGAGATTACATATTGGATTTATCAAAGCCACCTGAGAGATAGAATTGCAAACACTTCTTTCTCGCGGATGAATTGTCTCCTCTGCCCATCACCTGCTGACAAAGATTCTGGGCTATAGAACAGGACTAGAACATAACCTAATGCATGAAACATCTACCGGTAAATGCACGTTTTTCCTCCTCCGCATTTTCAATCAGATTTGGTAGGAGGATACCTTTCCTAGGATTTGACGCAAAGCTATTCCAATTCCCAAAGAAGGATAGGACAGAACAAACGTTAACTACCGCCCAATCTCGCTCACGAGCTGTGTTTGCAAGTTTTTAGAGCAAATGGTGAACACGCATTTGGTCTCCTGGAACAGATACTTATACCCATTCAGTGTGGTTTCGGGAAGCACTGTCAACCATGGACCATTTCGCCACCCTTTTCACACGTCCATTTCTTTTGTGTTACGTCAATTGGCCATTTTCTTCTATGTCGAGGAACATTCAACACCACTTCGTATCTTACGTTCTTGGGGTCGCAGGGGCCGCTTCCTACTGCGTTTAGTAGCTTTCCTTTCGACAAGAAACTTCCGCGTCCACCTTGGTATCAGGCTATTCTCCAGTCTTCAGTTAGAAAATGGAGTTCCTCAGGGATCAATTCTGAATGTATCTGATCTTTTGTCAGTTCCTTCAACCATTCTGCTTCAACCATTCTGATCTTTTCTTAGGGGTCATCTTCTTTTGTGGAATCTGCAACTTTCGTTGGGATTACGTTCGTTAAGAGTTTAACTTGGCGAAAACATAAAATGAAGGATTAATTGTGTAATACCTGTGAACCTCCTCACCCTTACTGCTAGTTCTTGGGAATGCTGACTCATGTTCCTTGCGTTGATATAGGACCCTCATTTGCTCTATTTGGGATTACGGATGTATTGTGCGAGGACTGAGGTCTCCGTCAACCCTCCGACCATTAAATACTCCTACACATAAGGATCACTACAGGCGTCTACCGCATGAATCGCACCGAATGCCTGTTGGCCGAGACTGGATAACCATCTCTGGGCCGAGGACGAAAGATATTTTGATCATTTTATGTGGTGCGTCATAATCCACTATGAATTCTTCCTCGTGCCAAGCAATCCTTCACCCAACTCACCTGATATCGTATGCACCCAGACCATCATTACCCAATCTGGAAATTCATCTCCATATACATTTGAATGTGCTTAAAAAATTGCCAACCCTGTGATTCCTTCTGAAACCTTGTGTCCAATTAGAAACTTCTCCGGCCCATAATAGATATTTTATTGTTTAATCCCCCTAACTTCTCAACTTCCCCCAATTCATTTCTAACGAAATTTCAGGTAATAAAATTCATGTATCCTAGTGTAACGTTCCTGAACTGAGCTTAACAATGCAGATAACTATACTTACGCCGAATCCTTGCTGAATTTGTGATTTTGTCAGACGGATGGCCTCGATACGTCCTTCCTTTCTGTCCTGGCGTTGTAGTGATGGCTTGGGCGTCTGCCTCGCTGATTCTCGGCTCCCGTGCGATTGTAGCGTAATTATGTTTATCCATCGCCACTCCCGCCACACGCATTGGCCCACCCACGTTGCCACCAATTATGACTATTTGATGGGCACTATGTAGTATTTGATTACCGCTGCCATCAATTATGCCTTTTGTTGGAGGGCACTTAGCTCCTCCCGCTTGGGATTCGTTTACCGCTGCCACCAATTATGTCTATGGACACACACAGCGCACAGACACGAGCTTTCATATAACAAATATTTATTTACAAGGAAAACAATATTTACAATGAATTTATGCTTTACACCCTAGCTCCGATAGACCGGCTATCCCCTTATCGCGGCCCGATTGATGAACGGTTTCAGTTATGGCACTCGCCACTCCTACATCTGAAGCGCGCACAAAGCTTCCGTGACCAGATGTCACACTGGGACACAAAAGTCCGTACCGGCTTACCAACTGATGGTTTGCCTCGATCTCAGGAGCGGTCTTACCCGATTGAGTATTGGCGCGAGTCGTGGCAAGCAGCTACTCCTCACCTCGGAGCACGCACTCACCACGTGACCGCAGACACCCAAGGACGCAAATTCCTCCACAGGCTCGTCAACACGTGACGCCTCGCGAGCCCTGCTCGCCGCTGCAACATCGTGGCGCCAAGTTTTTGTGCAACTGCACGAGGTTCCCCCACTGGCTCTGTGCACTCCCTTGTATACCCGAGGCTCACGTGACCTAATAAGTCTCGCTGCCTCCGCAGCGCGCTTCTGCTTGCCGTTCCTGAAGACCGGAGGACCCCAAAGCCTCGCGTCTCCCTTTGCCGCGAGCTTGCTTTTAGGAAAATCCCTTCTCTCCCTCCTGTGGCGAGGCGATTTCCTGTTACTAATCCCTTACTACGCATCCCCAAATAGCTGCCACGA